GATGGTATCTTTAGGTACTTCTTCAATTGTAAAGGCTTGAAGAGCAATGGTCTTGGATTGAAGAGCTTCCTTAGTGGATTGGTCCTTTATAGTTATCTTATACGAAAGGAGAGAACAAAAAGCTCATCTAGAGGCAGTTTCTCAATATCTTTTGCTTCTTGAATGGCGATTACCTTTGAGTTCCAGCTCTTCGGAAGTGCCCACAAGATTTTTCTGATTGATCAGAAGAATATGCCCTACCAAGATTCTTCAAAGGGTTAATGATGTTAGTAAAGCGAGAAAACATTTCACTAATAGATTCATTTTCATTCATGCTAAAAAGTTCATATTCATGCACAAGTCTATCAATTTTTGTATTTTTGACTTGACTAGTCCTTTCATAGGTGACGATGAGTTTATCCCAAATTTTCTTGGTTGTATCATAATCACAAATTTCATTGTACTCATCTTTGCTTAGTGCACAATAGAGATTGTTTTTAGCCTTGGAATTATATTGAACAAGCCTACGATTATTAGCATCCCATTCAGATTTCGGTTTAGGAACATCCTCTCCTTCTACCTTTTCGGTTGGAATATTGTTTCCAAATTCAACAACATCCCACACTTCTATGTCAACATTTTTAAGAAAAACTCTTATTCGATTTTTCCAATAGATAAAGTCATTACCATCAAACAAGGGAGATCTATTGTTGGACTGTCCTTCTAGAGAAGACAATCTGACAAAGTTAGACATGATCATACTCTAAGACGGTTAAGTCAATTAGATAGAGTTTAGACTGTGATACCACTTGATGCCCAAGAATGGACTCTAGAGAGCGGTCAATAGAGTCATTTGATAAATATGGCTAATTTTAAATTTATCTAGAAGATCAATATGCAATTTTCAATTAATCCAACATATGATAGACAAGTATATCAAATAATTGAAAATCAAGATCAAATGTAAAGAAAAGAGTTTAGAGAGATTGCAAACATTGACATAATGATTTTAGCTAGGTTTTATTACTCCTACTCCTCGGCATAAGACCCCTCTTGAGACTTCCCAATTCACTATGACTTCTCCTTACGGGTGGAGAGCAAACATTTACATGAAGCTACTCCTTACTTCAACTTACTAAGAGAACAACCTTCCTTTAGTTTTCCTTTGGGTCACACCAACCCGATGGGTTAAACCAACCCTTTACAATTGTTTGTGATAAAAGAAGCGATGTATAACAAATCTCTCAAAGATAGATGTACAAGTGTAAGCTCACAAGACTAGAGTAATAAATGAATCAAATAAAGCTCAAGTCTAGTGAATGAACAGGTGATAGAGTAAATGCTGTTAAATGATATTTCAAATGTTCTCTCTATAATAATAGTTACCTTCTTCAATGCTTGACCTTATATAAAGTGTAGTGGTAGATGAGAGGCAGTAATTGCTCAAATATGACTGTTGAAGTTAGTTGCTTAACATTTAATGAATGAATTACCGTTGGAGCAATTTATACTGAAACACAGATCTGGCTTAAATCATTTAAGTACTTGAGAGGATAAGATTGGATCTTATCTAACTGGTTACGGGGTTCTTTCTAACCGGTTACAATAACTATGAGCATATTTGGAGCCGCTACTCGATTATAAGAGGGTTCCTAACCAGTTACAACAAATGCAATATGAAAATGATCTTTTCTGCTTTAATTCAAGTACTTGGTTACAAGGAATTTTCTAACCGGTTATGAGTAGTTATTTTTGAATGGTTCATTTTGCCCATTGATCGACTCAGTTAGAACATATATCCTAATCGGTTACAGGATGTGTCTCTTTGAGCATGCTCTCTGTTCTATTTATCTACTCAGTTAGAGGAATTCTCCTAATCAGTTATAAGGTACGTTTTTCAGGATTGATATTTTGTCCATTCACCTAATCGATTAAAGAACTCTTCCTAACCGTTTATAAATTGTGTTTCACAGGATGTGTATACTGTCCATTCACCTAATCGGTTAGAGAACTCTTTCTAACTGGTTATAAGTTATATTTCATAGGTTGTGTATACTTTTCATTCACCTAATCGGTTAGAGAACTCTTCCTAACTGGTTACAAGATCTAAAAGATTGAATTTTTGTTTCTCTTTTAAATGCAGGTTCTTGATAACTATGAGAATGTTTTTGAAAAGAGTGCATAAGCCTATAGATATGAGCTTCAAATAAATTCATAAATTACTTTGACAAGAATCCTAATCACTCAACAATCTATCTACCCCTTTTCTTCGAGACTTGATCATGATTGCTTTAAGCTTGAGGTAAACTTGATTTCTCTTGAAATGATGTTTACATCTTGTTTGATTGTACATGATTGAATATAATTTCTCTGCATATGCGATCTTTCTGCTCTACATGTTTAATGTAAATATTAGTCCGAGAACAGTTTAATGGTTTGTAATCATCAAAATCATTAGATGGTCTTTGAATAACCTTTTAGGTCAACAATATATATTATTTCATTTTTTTTTTTTTTATGTATTTTTAGTTTTGAGATAATCAAATTTCAAAATTATTCACTTGTGACTTGTGAGTAGGGGTAGCAAATGGGCGGGTTGGGCCAGGTTTGGGTTGGGTTGAAAATGAACGGGTCAAACACGGGTCAAGACGCATATTCAACCCATTCAGAATGGGTTAAAAATGGGAGGATAAAAAATGTATAAGGTCAACCCGTTATAACCCGTGGACCCATTACTTATTATTATTATTATTATTAATTATTTTTTTCCCGGAAGGTTTTAAAATTTTATTTAATAACAAATAAAAAAAACAATCTTGAACTCAGTAATATTTATGGACTCGTTTTAGAGAGAGAAGTGAAGGAAATAGTAGAAATATTAATGTTTTAAAAATAAAATTTTCCCTTAAAAATTTTGATGTTTACAAACATGCAAAAAGAAAATCTAATTTTGCATATTTGAAAAAAATAATAATAATCATAATTGACCCATGAAACCCGACTGACTGCCCAAAATATTGATGTTTAAAAAATAAAATTTTCTTAAAAATTTTGATGTTTACAAACATGGAAAAGGAAAATGTAATTTGTAAAAATAAAAAATAAATAAAATAAAATAAAATTGTCCCGTGAAACTCGACCGACCTGCCCAAAATATTGATGTTTCAAAAATAAAGTTTTCTTAAAAACTTTGATGTTTACAAACATGGAAAAGGAAAATGTAATTTGCATATTTGAAAAAAAAATAAAATAAAATAAAATAAAATTGATCTGTGAAACCCAACCGACCCGCCCAAAATATTGATGTTTTAAAAATAAAATTTTCTTAAAAACTTTGATATTTATAAACAAGGAAAAGGAAAATGTAATTTGCATATTTGAAGGAAAAAAAAAAAAAAAAAAATTGACCCGTGAAACCCGACCGATCCGCCCAAAATATCGATGTTTTAAAAATAAAATTTTCGTAAAAACTTTGATGTTTACAAACATGAAAAATGAAAATGTAATTTGCATATTTGAAAGAAAAAAAAAAAAAAAAATGACTCGTGAAACCCGATCGACCCGCCAAAAATATTGATGTTTAAAAAATAAAAAATTTGATGTTTACAAACTTGGAAAAGGAAAATGTAATTTGTATATTTGTAATAAGAAATAAAAATTGGCTCGTGAAACCCGAACGACCAGCCCAAAATATTGATGTTTTAAAAATAAAATTTTCTTAAAAACTTTGATATTTACTAACATGGAAAAGGAAATGTAATTTGCATATTTGAAAAAAAAAATAAAAATAAAAATAACCCGTGAAACCCGCCCAAAATATTGATGTTTTAAAAATAAAATTTTATTAAAAATGTTGATATTTACAAACATGGAAAAGGAAAATGTAATTTGCATATTTGAAAATAATAATAATAATAATAATTGATTGTGAAACCCGAGCGACCCGTCCAAAATATTGATGTTTAAAAAAGAAAAATTTTGATATTTACAAACTTGGAAAAAGAAAATGTAATTTGTATATTTGTAAAAATAAAAAATAAAAAATAAAAACCGTGAAACCTGACCGACTCGCCCAAAATATTGATATTTTAAAAATAAAATTTTCTTTAAAATTTTGATGTTTACAAACATGAAAAAGAAAAATGTAATTTGCATATTTGGGGGAAAAAATAAAAAAAATAAAAAAATAAAATTTGACCTGTGAAACCAGCCCAAAATAGTCGGGTTGGCCCTACCTAACCCAATTTTAGGTTGAGGTTGGGTTGGGACTGGGCTGGGTTGGGCTATCCCAACTTGCAGCCCTCATCGTGAGTGAGTGAATTTTAGAGAGAGTAATGAGTTGAGTGCAATATATAATAGATGTGTGTTGTGTGTCTATTATGTGCTGAGTGATATATAGGTCAAATATGGGTAACCATATTCAATCCATCGTGACCCTCAAATTAAGTGGTTAAAAATTACCAAATCAATTTTTGACCCATTTTAAATATGATTCACCCAAAAATATTAAAAAGCGGATGGATATGGACAAGTTGATAGTTTCTGACCTATTTTACCATCCCTACTTGTGAGCCTAGTCTCTAGAAATTTATCAAATAATCTGACCAGACAACTTTAACTATATGATTAAGGATTGCAAAATATCCCTCATACTATCGACATTTTGTGCACATTTGGTATCCCTTTCACAGATCAATCAAGCTTGTGGGTTCAATTAAGGTTTTCCAATCTGTGATTGAAGTGTTGAACTTGCATTTGATCTTAAAAAACCTCCAAATTGGGGATATGAAACAGCAGTTGATGAACAAATGATCGTGTGATTCACGGCTATTGTGGCAGAGAGAACACAGATTGTGGTGCTTTGCCATAGATTTGCAATCTAATGTTGGGAGCCTACCTTGCACTGCCAACCATAAATTAAACTTCATGCGAGGGATTGTAGGGGAGTGCCAAACAAGGCTAAACCACGGAATAGGATCAGAGCGAGGAGCCAAGAATAATGATGTGTGCTTCAAGTGGAATTAACCTGAGGAAGATGCAGTCCAGTGCTTTGTATCAGACCTTGAAAGACATGGCTGGTGAAGAAGGAGGAGCTCAAGGACGGCAGCAATGAATGAAGGTGGGAAGGACCATGATGAGGAAGTTAAGAACTTGTCCACTGTGCTATCCTCACTTATTCCAGCATCTATGAGTAATGCAATTAGGAATCTAGAACAAAGAGGGCCACCAGGTGCCCAATTGTCCCACCAGAAGTAAGTATCTCTACCATTACCAATATTATGCTTGATTAACATTCTTGCATGGTGTCTAAGTTGTAAAATTTTCCTCCAGCTCCATGAGCATAGAGATGGAATCCTTATAGTCCAGAAATTTCTTGATCTGATTAGGTGAGTTTTACACCATTTGATCCATAACCTATCAGTGTTATCAAAGTGCAGCTCCCATATGAGTCTCAAGATTCCAGCTTTATTAGAGAGTTCAAGATTTGGAATGCCTAAACCCCCCAATTCCTTGGGCTTGCAGACCTTACTCCACCTCACCTTAGCTCCACTTGCTTTCATTTCTGGCCCTGACCATAGGAAGGACCTGAAAATCTTATTAAGTTCATTAATAACAGCCTTTGGGAGAATGAAAATTCCACTCCAGTAAATTTGAGTGGACACAAGGACTGCCTTAACAAGTTGCATATGATAGTGACCTAGAAGTCCAATGAGAGATTCTGTGTGTAATTTTTTCAATGAAAATGCTACAATGTGAAACTTTGAGACTGGTTATGATCAAGGGCACCCCTAAGTATTTGACTGGGAGAAAGCCAACCCCAATACCAAGTAGATCTGATATTAATAGCTCTGTATGAGGATCAATGCCTGAGTAGAAGACTGTGCTTTTTGTGAGGTTGATTTATAGGCCAGACATAGAATAAAAGTGGTCTGTGGCACATTTAAGTATTGATACAGAAGTAATGTCACCATGGCAAAGTAGAAGTAAGTCATCAGCATAAGATAAATGGGTGATTTTATGAGCTCCACATCTCCAGTGGTACTTGAAAGCAGTGGCTCTCTCTACATAGTTGTTAATGATTGATGACAAGGTATTCATAACAATGACAAATAGAAAAGGGGATATAGGATCACCTTGTCTGAGCCCTCTCCTCCCTTTGAAGAAACCATGAAATTCACCATTAATATCAATGGTGAAAGAGGGTGAGGAAATGCAAGCCTGTATGAGCTGGATGAATTTTTGTGGAAAGTTGAGTAGTGTAAGACATTAGATGATGAAATCCCATCAAAATCAAAAGCTTTCCTGAGATCAATCTTGATTGCGCATCTGGCAGGTGAAAAATCCTTGTGATAACCCCTGAGAAGCTCATGTGCCAAGAGTATTAGATCACTGATTTTCCTCCCTTTGTTGAAAGCTGCTTGTGAAGGGTTAATTATATGTGGTAGAGTGGCCTGCAGCTTAGTTGCCAAGAGCTTAGCAATGCATTTGTAAACTGTGTTGCAACAGGAAATTGGTCTATAATCATGGATGGATGAGGGATTTTGGCATTTTGGGACTAGAGAGATGTAGGTGCTGTTGGCCTCAGACAGTAACTTTCTATTCCTGAAAAATTCTGAAATTGCAAAGAGGATAGATCTTCCAACTATGTGCCAAGCTTTGTGGAAGAAGGATGCATTATAGCCATCAGGGCCAGGAGCTTTGTCTCTGTGAAGCTGGAACATGCAACTTTGAATGTCCAAATGAGAGGGGATTTCTTCCAAATAGGAGAGAAAACGATGGGGAACTTGTTTGGTGAAAAACTGCTACAAATCTGATGTATGATGAGTTGATAGTGGAGAGCAAACAAGCAGACTTTGGAAATGTGCAACCACCACTTGAATAATTGTATCCGTGTCTTTGATGACTTGACCATCCTCCAGAGTAAGTGAGATAATTTTGTTCTTGTTGTTTCTGGATGAAAAGCTTTTGTGGAAGTAACAGGAATTACAATCTCCTAGCTTCAACCATATCATTCTAGACTTTTGTCTAAGAATGTCTACTTGGGCGGAAAGGAACGAAAGGGTTTTCAAGCAGAAACACTCCACACAGTGGATAGTCCTCCAGAAAATTTGTAATACTGTGATTTCAATTCTGAAATTGAGATTTCTTAAAGAATGCTCAGTGTCCAGAAGGATCCTCACCGATTGGAACATGTCCCCTTCTCACTGTCGCCCCCCTCCAAGGCCTCCGGACTAGCTCTTGCCGGAGTTCCGCTCCTTGCTTAGTCACCGGATTTGCTCACTAACACCCTCCTTTAACAATTTCTTAAAACTGTTAGTGGAGGTCATTAGTTTCTGGGTTGGGTTTCTCTCTTGTTCGCTCTCTTGGGCTTGTTTTCTTGGGCATGGCCTAATGGCCCACTTTGTAAATTCCTACTTTATATTATTTATTTCAGTCGCTTTAAAATTCCAAAAAAAAAAAAAAAAAAAAAGATGTTTTTGGGTTCAATGGGACTGCACTTGGTTATGGCGCAAAATATTCAAACTCAGAGGAGCAGCCCACTCTTTTCTACAACACAAAATGTACAATGGAAACAAAAACATCAGTCTTTTTTGACATTTGGTTGCCACGTGGTCCACTATGTGTGAGGGATTACCTACTTTCCAAGGAATGAAATGTATTTTTTATATTATATATATTTAATAATCTAAAGGGTGTACGACTACACGTGTCTTCCTTGTATTAGTATGTCTAGAGCCACAAAAATGAAATCTATCCTCTCACATTGCAGACCAAGTCCAATCACTCAAAATATATATATATATATATATATATATATAAGACAACTTTGGGCCTTCCAAATAGTCCAATCAATTAAAAATGTTTTAAAAAAAACAATAAAAGGACCAATAATTTAAGAAACAACAATAATTAATTCGATAATTTAATAAGGAACAATAATTGAACAGAACCAATAATTCAAGAAAGGACAATAATTAAAAAGGACCAATAATGAAAAGAGGGAACAATAATTTACTAAACCTTTAAAAAACATTAATTCGATAAGTAGAAAAGCAATAAAAGTCTCTCTCTTTCCTCTCACATTGCAGACTAAGTCCAACCACACAAAACAAAAATAAATACAAAAACAAAAATATACGTCAACTTGTGCTCTAAATAGTCTAATCAATTAAAAATATAAAAAAAATAATAAAAAAAGACCAATAATTCAAGAAAGTCTCTCTAATTCCTCTCGCATTGCAGACTAAGTCCAATCACTAAAAACAAAAACACAAAACCAAAAATATAAGTCAACTTTCGTGCTCCTAATTAAAAATGTGAAAAAAATAATAATAATAATAAAAGGACCAATAATTCAAGAAAGTCTCTCTCATTTCTCTCACATTGCAGACTAAGTCCAATCACTCAAAACAAAAAAAACACAAAAACAAAAATATAAGTCAACTTCCGTGCTTCATATAGTCCAATCAATTAAAAATATATAAAAAATAATAATAATAATAAAAAGGATCAATAATTCTACCATAAGCAATTTAGAAAGGCTCTCTTTCATCAGACAGTGCAGATGAAGAACAATCACTTGAAACAAAAATATAAGATAACTTTGGGTGCTCCAAATACTCCGGTCAACTAAAAAAAAAAAAAAAAAGGACCAATAATTCAAGACAGATTACAAGCAATTTAGAAAGGCTCTCTTTCCTCTGATGAAAAACAATCAATTAAAAAAGTAAAAATAAACAGTAATAAAAAGGACCAATAATTCAAGAAAGACGACAAGCAATTTAGAAAGGCTCTCTTTCCTTTGACAGTGAAGATGAAGAACAATCACTTGAAACAAAAATCGGTGAATGTAACTATGGGTTCCAGTAATTTTTCAAAAATAGAAATTAAAATTTTAAGGAAGCTTTAGTGAGGGAAACAAATCATGAAATCCATCTTATTTGACTGAATATTTTATTTTTTTTGCTAGATTATGAAATTTAATCACACTACGTTTCTCTTTCCGCTTGAAATTCACCCTTAATTTAATTAATGTTTATTTTCTTAATACTCTAAAAAAATGATTATGTTTTTATCTATTATTTCATTTTTTTTTTTTTTATGTATTTTTAGTTTTGAGAAAATCAAATTTCAAAATTATTCACTTGGGACTAGTGAGTCTAGTTTCTAGAAATTTATTAAATAAGATGACCACACTACTCTAACTATATGATTAAGCATGGCAAAATACTTTAACTAGTATCTACATTTTGTGCACATTTGGTAGATCAAGCTTATGGAAATATTACCAAACCGGGCCTCAAAGGCACTCTGTGAACCAAATGTTGACAGAAAAATAAAATTATATATTTTTCCCTTAAGTTATACGACGTCCTGGTTAGATTACTGAGCAGTGCCCAATAAAAAAGTGACAGCACATAGTTGCCTTATCCATAATACTTTAGATTACTGTACCGTCTCCAATTGCAATTGGGCTTCAGCTTAGTAGTGGTCTGTTCAGAGTGGGCTTTCCAGTCTAATTACTACTCAATTCTCTTCGAATCAAAGAAACAGAGATGGAGGAGGTGATCGACCATTTCAGCCATAGGCATTGGTTGACACTCGACCAACAGAAACGTAAAGAAGGGAATCAAATGACTTGCAATGGTTGCGAATACAAAATCTCGGGTGATTTCTATGGTTGCACAGGCTACAAATGCAAACATTACGTTTGCAAATCATGTATTGGATTGGCGCCAGAGATACGACACCCCTTTCACACGGAACATCCCCTCACTCTTCTCGTTCAATCACCTTATAAACACGAAGAATCTAGGGATCCTCATGGTCAATCTCCTCCTGATCAACCAGCTTACTGCTCTGCTTGCAGCATGAGATGTGACGGCTTCATTTTCCATTGTTCTGAATGCAAATCACGTGTTCATAAATTTGACCTGCACGTTAATTGCGCTACGCTGATGCCCACCACCACCACCAACTAGTACAAGGCAAGTGAGCAACAAACGACGCACCCTCATCCTCTGATTCCTTGTTATAGGAAGAACAAGCAGCTTGATTTTTTGTGCTCTGTGTGCAACCAACACATCAAGGGCACTATCTATGTTTGTTTAGATTGCCAAGCTATCATGGATGAATCATGTATACAACTCCCACAGCAGATCACACATCACTTGCACCCTGATTACTCTCTCACTTACACACGTTCTTATATTAGTTGCAAAGCCTGTGGGGTTTCTAAGGATCGCTTCTGCTACAGCTGTTCTGGGTGTTACTTTGGTCTGGACGTAAGGTGCGCTTCTCTAATGCCAAAAGCCATAATAGAAAACTATGATGATCAAAGTTTAGAAAACCAGCAGGTTGTTCAGGCACCATTCACCCACCCGCATGATTTGATTCCATGTGATAATACCAAAGGGATTTTTAGTTTTTCATGTTCCGCCTGTGGGCTCTTCATCGAGGGTACAATCTATGTTTGTCTTCGATGCAATTTTTTACTGCACAAATCATGCGCTGAATTGCCACTGCAGATCGAACACCCTTTTCATCCATCACATCCTCTCGTGCTCGATTATAAAAATTCCTCCGTCAATTACCAATGCAAGGCATGTAAATGTTCTGTTTTGGGCTTCAAGTACTTGTGTCGCGAGTGCGACTTTGAGATGGATGTCACATGTGCTTCGCTAACCTACTCCACTCTCAAATTTGAATTTCACAAGCACCCACTTGCTATCTTCAATGACCCTACATTTACAAAAAGAAAAGCGGATAGCTTAGTTTATTGCAACAGTTGTCGAAATTTTAAGGGTTTCCCGTTCTTCCGTTGTGTGCTATGCGATTTCAGTTTTAAGTTGTGCTGTCTTTTAATATTACCGTACACGTTTAAACACAGCAATCACCGACATTCTCTCACCCTCACATATTCTTTTATTAAAGACCATTCAGACGATGACTTTAACTCTGAATATTACTGTGACGTTTGTGAGCAAATGAGAGAGCTAAAAGAGCCAACTTATTATTGCGAGGATTGCCACTATGTTGCTCATACTGGTTGCGTGTTCCATGAGGTATGTTCCAATTCTCAACTATTATATGATACCTAGACAGCTTACTATTTGATTTGATTTGATTTCTTGTACTCCTTTTTTTTTTTTTTAAGCATACCCAAGATTGTGTTTGGAGCAACTGCATTTGGATGATTTTAAAATAGAATTTATCTATATTGTATTTGAAAATTAGCAATAATTCGTTGATTATGCATTGATTATACAATATGTCCAATTCTGTGACTAAGCCAAAGCTGAAAGGATAACAATTATAATCTCACACGGAAATCATATCAACAAAGCAAAAGATATAATTTTGATTGACATGATATCATGGATGAATCATGTATACAACTCCCACAGCAGATCACACATCACTTTCACCCTCATCATACTTTCACTCTCGAATATTCTTATTATCCTTCTCATATTTGCAAAGCCTGTGGGGTTTCTAAGGACCGCTTCTTCTACTGCTGTAAGTGGCCAGAATTTTGTTTGGAGGTAAGGTGCGTATCTCTAATGCCCAAAGCCATAATAGAAAACTATGATGATCAAAGTTTAGAAAACCACCATGTTGTTCAGGCACCATTCACCCACCCGCATGATTTGATTCCATGTGATAATACCGAAGGGATTTTTAGTTTTTCATGTTCTGCCTGTGGGCTCTGCATCGAGGGTACAGTCTATGTTTGTCTTCAAGGCCACATCCTCTCGAGCTCAATTACAAAAAGTCCTCTGTCAATTACGAATGCAAGGCATGTAAATGTTCTGTTTTGGGCTTTAAGTACTTGTGTGGCATTTGATATGGATGTCACATGTGCTTCGCTAACCTAGTCCACTCTCAAATTTGAACTTCACCACCACCCTCTTGCTATCTTCAACGACCCTACATTTACAAAAAGAAAAATGGATAGCTCAGTTAATTGCAACAGTTGTGAAATTTTTAAGGGTTTCCCGTTTTTCCATTGTGTGCCATGCGATTTCAGTCTTAAGTTGTGTTGCTTTTCAATGTTACCGCATACATTTAAACACAGCAATCACCGACATTGTCTCACCTTCACTTTTACTTTCATCAAAAATCATTCAGACCATTACTTTGACTCTGAATATTACTATGACCAATTGGCCTTTGTGAGAAAATGAGAGAGTTGCTAGAGCCAACTTATTATTGCGAGAATTGCCACTATTGCGAGAATTGCCACTATGTTGCTTATACTATTTCATTTCATATGATTTCTTGTACTCTAGTTTTGTTCTTTGCATAAATGGAATTTATCATATTAATAAATATTATTTTAAAATCTAATGAAAATTAATTGAATTACATGATAGGTGAAATTTTTACCCATATTTAGTAGACTTTGCACAAACTGTGCCCCTCTTTTAGTTTCTAAATTCCTAATGCATAAATGAGATTTCATTTCATTTTCATTTCTTTTCAAAATCCTAATCCTAAAAAGATTTGGTTCTAACAATTTTTTTTTCTTTTGCAAATTTTTTCGTGGTAGGCTTTTTCATGATTAAATTGTCAAACACTTCTACAATTTGTTTTTTATTTTTTATTTTTTTTTATTTTTTTTTATAAGAAAAAATACTTTGAAACAAGAAATTTACATTAACATCTGCAATATTACATTCATACTTCAAATGATGGTTTTCATGTGTCTATGCAAATTTTGTTTTAGTTACATTAACAATGTGCTAGCAAGAGCCAAACTCTTTAATTTTTGGTTGCTTTTCAGATTCTTCCTTTACTACGGAAAGGGTGGCCCTTGGCACCACATGAAGAGATTGCACGTGAAGAGATTGTAATGGTTCAAGCAAAGGTATATGCACTGAACATGAAAAAAAAGTCACTTTTGGATGAAATTGACCAAATATATGCAGAAGTTCATTCCATTGATGATTTTACTGGTAAGTTCTATACTTGGTCGTATTAGGATAAAGTAATCATTTTTGTTATTGGACATCGTTGTGTGATTAGTATCTAATATCATTTCTTGAGAATTATATTTAGTTAGAGGACTTGATAATAAGAATGGTGCAGGATAACAGAAACCGAGACAACAAAAGCATCAAGATATCTGAATTCTTTATTTTTATGGCGCTGATTATTGTCCTGCCCTTTTCGAACTAGGTTCAATGGATAATGAGACTGAAAGGCTTGAACAAAAAGTAGATGCAGTGACAAAGGAATTAGAGACAGTAATAACAAGGTTAATGGATGAACTTAAAGAGAGACAACCACAACATATTGGTGACTATCAAATTGGTAAGTTGTATTATACTCCCTACTAATATAAAAATTAATCATGTTTGTTGTTGAGTATGCGGGGAGTGAGTAACATCTAATATGATAATTTGGAAAAATAGATGTTGTAGGTGTTCATTTGTTATGACTGTATACATTAATAAATAATGTCAAAAATAAAAAAACTTATAACAAGAAAAACCATAATTGATTGTGCTTTTAATTTTGTCTTACGGCGACCTCATCAACTTAGACTTCACCACCGATCTTAATCAAATTTCATGTTGTCTTCCCTTGTCATTCTTTGATAATACTTCAGATTTTTCTAGAAAAATAAGGTGTCAACATAATTTTTTTTTTTCAACGTTTGGTAATGAATGAAACTTTCTCTGATCGATATAGATGACATCTTCAAATTTGTACTCCGATCAGAATAAGAATAACATCATAAATCACTCGTGTGTATGGTGTGTATGCTCTCAATGAAAAATACTGAAAAATCTCACAAAGATGGCTCTGAATTAAATCAGAATTTTGTATGCAAAAAGCCGTGAAACCCTTAAGTGAGAAAACATGTTTTTATAGAATTTTGAAAACCTAATTTAACTTGAAAGACAAGTCAATTACTTGCATGACCAATATAGTATGAGTCTATGCATGACCAACGTATGGTCGAATCTGAAAAACTTTCAAATTTTGGTGTGAAAAATAAGAAAACTTGCAAAAATCAGCTAAATTCAAGTCCGGTTCAACCTCTAAATACATAACAAAAAAATAGACAGTCTTCCTATGCACTAAAAGAAAGGCAAAAGCAAGGTCCTAAAAGATGAGTTTTGGCCCAAAATGGCTTATTTCATGGTAAATAGTAAAGCTGTGAATGTTGATTGTTGGGCTGATTCCAATTGGTAATAAGTCTCCTCAAGTTGGGCATTAAATTTCTCCATTAACTTCTTTGTTTAGTACGTACTATATGAATAGCAATATAACACAAATTATATAATTTTTTCAGTAATTCAATTTAAACAATATTTAAACTCTTGATTAATTAAAAAATAAAAATAAAAAATGGAAGGTTTGTATGATAAAGCTATTTGTGAGGGCCTTTTCAAACTAAATGTAGCTTTAGAGCTATTTAACGATGTGTCTCTTCCACTTAAATTATTTTTTTATTTTAAATTTTTTTGAAATTTCTCTTCTACTTAAATTATTGAATCTTTTGATGTGTGGCATTTTAATTATTTTTTCTTACAAAGACTAATAAATTTAGATTTAATTTCTAAAACATATATGAAAAGAATTATTTATTTGACATGTTTATGAAATCAAATATCTCAAGAAGACCATTTAAATTTTTTGAATAAATTTATGAATTAATTTCTTTCTTCCCAATCTTTACACCTATACAAATAAACATATTTTACGAATAATATCATAAATTAAACGTAATATGTTTCAAATCTAAATTATATGTAACATTTTAACTTACTTGTAACATGTATCATACATTATTTTTATGTAAATTGAATCAAAAAAAATATGAAATAAATTGAAAGCAAATTATAAACAAATTTTTAAATACTTTCAATATACGGAGTAATATTTTCTTTCTAGGTTGAATAATAGAATTCGAGTGTTCTTCATGAATGAGTGGATTAATTTATTTCTTCCAAATATTTGCACCTATACAAATAAACATATTTTACAAATAACATCAAGAATTAAACGTAATATGTTTCAAACCTAAATTATATGTAACTATCTTAACTTACTTATAACATGTAATATATATTTTTTTTATGTGACTTGTATCAGTAAAAACATGAATTAAATTCAATATCAAACAAATATATTTTAGATTGACATATAATTCATAAATTTAACATATTTTACGTTGTTATGTCATTCTAAAACATATTTGTTTGATATTGAATTTATTTTAAATTTTTATTGATACAAGTCATATAAAAATAATATATGATATATGGTACAAGTTAAGATGTAACATATATTTTAAGTTTGAAACATTTTACATTATATTAATGGCATTATTCGTAAAATATGTTTATTTGCGTAAGCGCAAAGATTTGGAAGAAAAAATTAATTCATAAACTGAACATATTTTACGTTGTTATGTCATTCTAAAATATATTTATTTGATGTTAAATTTAATTCATATTTTTACTGATACAAATACATAAAAATAATATATGCTACATTTTACAAGTAAGTTAAGATGTTACATATAATTTAGGTTTGAAACATATTACGTTTAATCTCTGCTATTATTCGTATAATATGTTTAGTTGTGTAGGTGCAAAAATTTGAAAGAAATAAATTAATCCATAAACTTAACATATTTTACGGAACCTTTGCAAATTTATTCATAGTGAATTGCGTGATCTTAAAAGTATACAAAATTTTTTATTACCTATGTAGATTATTGTACTCCTTTTTGCCTAGCATACTTGTTACTTATTATGAACCAAGGAAAGCTTTAAGCAAATTTAAACTATTCAAAGCACAAGTAGAAAATAAATTGAAGAAAAAAAAAAAAAAAAAGGAGAATAAAAATCTATTGACCAGATATACTCAATGAAGTGTGAGAGGGTTTAGCTAAGGTAAACTTGCCAAATTCCAAGAGAACTAAGTTGGAATTATTTTTAAAAAAAATTCTGTTCACTTCTCTGGTTTTGGTAGAAGATGGCTAAATTATTTCATACAAAAATGTAGCGTGCAGAAATCTATTGACCAGATATATTCTATATAGGCATGATCATGATTCATGAACCAACTTAAGAGAGTAACATATATTACTAGTATTTGTTTCAATGTCTGTACATTACATACATATATAGACAAATTTATTTAGTCTTAGAATTGGCTTATTTCTGTGGATATTTAAGAACAATAGACAAGATTTTTTGAATTAATATATTTGATAAACTAAAAAATTATAAGACAAGAAAAAAATAATAATAATAACTATAACCACTTTGAATAGTTAAAAGAATCCGACAGCCCAAAGCATTATGAGAAGACTAGAACTGCCATAAATAACCTCTAATCTTTGATACCAAACCATTACTCACCTTGATGTTTTATACTAACTTGTTATAGGAAAACGTGATGATGTTTGTTGTTGCCCATGTGAAGCGTGAGTAATATCGAAGATGATAATTTAGAAGAAATTGATGTTGTAGGTGTTTTCATGTATTTTGACCATATACTTTAATAAATAATTTCAAAAAAATAGAAAAAAAAAAATTGTAGCAAGAAAACCATAATTGATTATGCATTTAATTTTGACTTATATGACCTCCCCAACTCCGACATCACAACCTCTCTGAGTCAATCCCCTATCCTTCTTTCATAGTACTTCAGAATTTTCTAGAAAAAATAGGGTGTCAGGAGAATTTTTTGTCAAGATTTGGTAATGAATGAAACATTATATTTACTTTTATTTTTATTTGTTTATTTAAAAAAATACCCCTTATAAATATATCAGTTATGTTTTCAGGAGAAACTATAGTTTTCAATTAAATATATGGTTCCTTTAGTCACAACTGCTTAATATAGTTATAATTTAAGTTTTAAATTTGTGGATAGTGAAGAGCTTAGAATATATTCAAGCCTTAAATCTTGATGGTAACATAATAATAAGTCATAAGAGAACCATGCTTATTCAATGAAGAAAAGAGAAAAACACTTAATTATAAAATAAATAAAAAGGAGAGAAAAACTCTAAAATTTTGTCAGTCCTACTTTTAACATTAAATATTAGTATATTAATTAATTAAGAGATTCCTATGCAATAAAGTACTATAGTATTGAATTAATTGTTTTATAAAGCCATATATGTAATGCGGAATTATATTCTCGACTCGGTTGATGTTTATTAGGAAGTATACCTTCACTAGGCACAAAGTCATCTGTGACTATTCATGATGACTCTAATGAGGTTGTTGAAGAAGACTGCACTGTGAAAAGTATGAAAAAGGAAGAAGACAAAGATGTGGGCAGCTCTGATGTGATGGTTGAGGAATTCTGCAGTATGGAAAGTACGAAAAAGAATGAAAATGAAGATGCGGAAATTGATGGTACATTTTCCACCCTTTCTAGCTAGATGAAGAGATAGCGGCAATAAAAATAATGTTAGAGACGCTATCAACAAAGTTAGAGGCACTTAAGAAGAAACGTGCACATTATGTCTCACATCTCGAGCTCAAATGATAAGTCCTTGATTGGGGTTTAGTATGGAGTCACCATGCTTTGGTATTTGCCGTGACGTTAGATATGGAGGCATGTTTTCATGTTTCAGATATGGGGCAGGTTGGTAGATAAATTAATTGGAGAGAGAATTCATGTGGTTAACCCTATTCATATAGAATTAATGTAATGATGATGATGATGGTGGATGATGGTAGCCTTGTGGACCTGTAGCACCATTTGAATTGGGTATTGTCCCTTTGTGTTTTGATGCTTGTTCAAAGTTTATGTTTGAAATCAAAAGTTCGATATAATGATATATATTTTATCTTTGCCTATTTGTTTTTTGTTAATACTATTGATACAAAGATGATGTATCTTTCAAAGGCTTAAAGCTAAAACTTTGATGTGATGATCATAGGTATGATTGTGTGTTTCTTATTTTTGTCTTTTCAATTAAGGGCTTCATCTTCACAACAGAAACAAGAATATTTTTGTAATTAATTGCTTAGATTACTGCTTCCATACTAATATGCAAATTATAGGCTTTTGAGTAGAAATGAAATTCCCCTTACAGCCAAAGCTATTGTATGAAAAAAATTTGCACCATATTTTCATGGATTAAACATTTAGTTACACACCATTCCGGTGTCGCCACTCCTAGTCCATAACCACTGTACTGGTTCAACACTAGCCTTAACTACAGTTATTTTTAAACTATACACTTTATATGTAAGTAACTTGAAGTGCAAGAAAAATTATAACTACAACGCAAGCATGATTTATATCACATAATAACCTCTACCAATAATGTTGTAACATTATAGAAAATAAAATAGATGTTAAATACGTAACTTGCAACTCAGTAAAATCCTTATACTGTCATAAAATACATATTAAATACATAACTTGCAACTCAAAATAAACCAACACTGTTATGTACTCAAAATAGGCGAAGTCAATTAAATCCAATATGCGTACCAAAGTACGTAAAGAAAATGATAAAAGGTATAATAAAATCCATGCCACCCATAGCAAAACACAACTAGATTAACTGAAGGAATAG